ATCTAATGCAGTTCCTAATACAAACATTTAATTCAACATTTAATGCAACATTTAATGCAATGAGATTATTAATTGAAATTCTGATTTCACCGAAGCACAGACCGCAGGATTTGCGATCGAACGATAGTTAGAACTATTCTATGGATCAAGGGATGCCGGGGCGCATTAATCCAGCAATCGTTGCAGGTGGCTAAGCTTTGTAGCTCGTTAGCCCGCGCGGGACCGTTATTATGCGCGGAAGATCGCAGATCTCGCATCTACAGAATTCAATGAAAATACGTAACCAACATCGGCGCCCGTACGCCGCGATGGAAACGCACCAGCTGCATGGGTAATTAGGAGCTTTGCGTTTAACACCACGCGATGGTTTACCACTATTGCAAACCTACAGCGCCTGTTCTTGACACTGTCGAGCTGCGTATCAATCGAGGATTTAATTAGGAAAGTTTCCTGCCAGTTAGACCAAATCTATGAATATTCAGAAGCTTCCACCGTTGCTTCTTGTCTTCCCTTGTATTTCATTTTATTAATGCCAGCTTTCTTAATTCCTTATTCATCCACCAGGTTTTCCCCTTTATTTATGCTGTACATACTTCGTATTACTGTTGCATCCTTAAAAAGCTTAAACTAACCTAACCTATAGGTCGGTCTCGCTGTAGAGAAGACTCATCTGTTCCGCCTCCTTAACAATAAATAAATTAATAACCTAACCTAACCTAATTCTCTCTTCTCGTCACCTAATTAAATCCCATGACTCTTCTACTGACACGTTGGGTTAAAAAAAACTTGCTATTGTTCCTAATTAAAAAGCTCGCCTGCATTAACTGAAATTGTAAATTGACTCGATAAATCAAGCCGGAAATTCCGCGGCGTCGGCGGTTTCTTAGGAGCCAATTCTCCCGTCTGTTATTAACCGTGCCGTGATATAACAGGGGCCCGCGTGTTTTCGCGCGTATCTCGCTTTAACGGCGCATCGATTCTGGCCCGTTTCGGTTTAATAATCGCCGCCGCGTTACCCGCGACACTCGGTTCGCCCGCCCATCAAACTTCCTTCGAACGGATCCTGAAATTCCCCTGACGACCCCATCGTCACGCGATTTACGCCCGTCATAATTTGCGATACTTCGTGGAACCTCGGATAATTCTAGTTTCATACAGTGGCTGTTACGAGGCTTTTCCGCAGCCTCGGACAATTTATGCGCTTCACTCCAGTGATTCTAGAAAAACTGTTATGAGCTACTAGTCTTCTATCCGCCATTTTATTGAAGATTGTTGGAGGTTTATCAAAATGCATTTGTATTTATCAAAAAAACTTAAAAACTCCGCCATTTTGTCAGATTTCAATATTTCTCGGATATCCTACGTCGTTCAACAATAAAGCATGTCTACTTTAAGAGCGTCTTTGTCTTTTTTCATTTTAGGCTCCCTAGCGAACTGTATGAAGTTAGCCTTTGAGGCACTCTTTTTTTGCGTTTCAGAAGATATCGCATAACTTGGTTGCCTTTAGATATTTTTGTATGAAAAAATTATTTTACACAGTTCATTTATAGGC